ACATCGCAGGCAATGCAGGCCATCGCAAGAGTAGAATCGCAACAGGAAGGGACCAGTGGGTTGTTGGTGCGAGAGTGACATGGAGGAGATCGTGTGTGTTTGAAGAAGAGAGCTATTTAAAGAGCCATTTAAATAGGACAGCAGAAAATGGGACAAAGTGGAGATCCCACCCAGTAGAAACATATCTGACCTGTGTAGCTGTCTAACGGCATTGTTCAGGTAATTTTAAGTTTTCGATGTTGTTATTGTTAGATAGAAATGACTCTACCTTTGGTGTCATTAGGGGCATTTCGTGACTGCACATAACTCAAAGAACTTCAGACCAACTAACATACAGTAAAATGTATGTGTCAATTTCCTGAGCTCACAGACCAAAACTAGTCGGTTTCGGTCGCTGCAGGTAAAGATCACGAGAAGATATAATTTTCCTGTTGAACGCTTTGATTAGCAGAACTAGTTTGCATAAAAGGCAATAAAATAGTTGAGTACACTTAACACTTAGCTTATATAAAAACTTGTCGACCCTCAATGGGAACATCATCACTCAAAGAGACGTGGGTATATACATGAATAAGGCTTCGTATAACGAAATGATAAAGGTTAGAATTCATAAAATATTGGAATCTCAACCTAGTGGTCGAGCAATGACATGCAAGTCATGAAATGTAAAAGTCCCGGATCCAGTCCCCGGTTAAGATTATGGACATACACTGTTGAAGACTACGAAATCAGGGAAAAACAGCTATCCAGTGCTACTGGATTCCCATTATTCTTTCGAGTGACGAAATCTACCTAGCCGATAGTCTGTTACAAACTGACCCTATTGTATACAATCATAAACTGAGTTACAAAGTCGTCGAGGAACTTTGTACGTTGAATAGAGAGGTGAATTGGCTGAAGGTAAATCAGTCAATACAAACAGATCTGTTGAAAGATAAACAATGTGAACTGTTATTATTATTATTATTGTTCCCATGGGTTCCTAGTGGGACATAGGGCTTCAACTGCACGCCTCCACTTGTTTCTGTCTTCTGCTGTACATTTCATCTGTATCCATGTTAGTCCATACTGTTTCAACTCCTCTTTACACGATCTCCTCCATGTCACCCTTGCATTGACGAACCACTCGCCGCTTCCCTTTCGGGTTCCACTCGAGCAATGGCCTGACGCGCGATGTCACCCAGCGGCCTCCTCAGCAAATGTCCAATCCATCTCCACTTTCTCCTGCATATTTGTTGGACGATTGGTCCTTGTTTTTTTTGTTCCCATAGTTTCTTGTTGGTGTTTCTTTCCGGCCGGCCATCTGATCTTCAGTATAGAGCCAGCGAAGACAGTTGTTGATAAAGGTCTGCAACAGGCTGTTGGAAATATTCTTTGTGACCCGCCAAGTTTCTGATCCGTATAGAAGAACTGACTGACTTGACGTTTGTATTGAAAATCCGAATTTTGTTGTTGATGCTGAGTTGAGTGACGAAGATTTCCAGATTAGTTTCAGGTTGATGAATGTTAGCTGAATGCAAACATCATTTGTATGAAGGTTTCAATAAGTGTCTCTCCAATACTTTAATTATCACAGCTCTTGTCCAATCGGCTACAACGCAGAGATTGCTCAAAATACTTTTTAGCAGAGCAGCTAAGAACTGACAATTCTTGAAAAGAACCTTATGGAGAATGTATGTATCTCCAGAAGTTTATATTAAAATATGACAGTATAAAAACACTTAGACCGAAATCAGAAACGTTTGAAAAGAAGCCGGTTATTATCTGTCTAGCGTACAAAGGGAAAGAAGTACTCACAATAACAGAAAAAGGAATTAAGGATGCATTAAAGAGAACATTAATCGCTGTCAGGCTCATTCTACTTTCCAGCACAGTAACCCCATTAACTCAGTCAAAAGTATATAAGTATCTTGCCCGTATCAACTCCAACTGCATCTACTAATTCACTCTCATTCCGGATAGAAAGTATATAGGAAGGACTGAAAGGAGAGCATCTACTACATTTTCTGAGCATATCCCTAAAAGTCTCTGTATGAAAGGTAGCAAAGTGTTTTCATAATATACTATTGCCAGACACACCTAATTGACACAGGACATATGGTGGAAATTAATTAATACCCAAAGAACACCATGGTTACTTCATTTCACAGAAGCTAATGCTATCATCAAAAGACTTCGACACAACCTCTGTATACAGAAAGATAGTGTGACTAATCTCTCACTACCACCCCAATGACCGTAATTGTTTTGTTCATTTGCTTTTGGTGTTTTGTTCTGTTACGTAACATTCCACTTGATTTTGACTTACCCTCAGTTGAGTTGAACACAGTATTAAGTTTCCAAATTGACTTGAATATTTTTGTGTATGTCATAACTTTACTATTCACTCCCAACCTCTTGGACTCTGCACTGTAATATGTATAAATTCACACTGTTGTTCGATTTTGTATTTTGGTCTCTTGTTAATCGTTTTCAAACGAAATCTAAATTTTAATCCCCTTTTGTGTAACTGTTCTATAAATAGTGAATCTTTTAACACTGAATAATCTATCTGCTTACAAAAACCAATTCATTGAAAATTCATCTGATGCTCACTAGCGACTGGCCCTAGACAGGCAGTGACCTGGGATTCTAGTGGGAAGCAGGGTACAGCAGTAACTCATCGAAGAAGATATTGCGAAGTGGTCCCGCTATATCATGCGTGAATTGGCAGAAGTCGGAATTCTTGCGTTGGCCATTAGACCGCGTTCCAGTAAGTGAATGGTCTACGAACTAGCTCGCCTTGTAACCAGAAGGTCCTGGGTTCGAACCCTGTCTGTGGAGTGGGTGCATACTGCTGATGAAGAGTCCCAAACCAGGACGTAGGAGACAGCTGTCCAGTATTCCCTGTTGGTTTTCCAATGGTTCTCTAACTGATGTCAGCTCATGATGAAATCCTCCATCCAATTATATTGTTCACATTTTCTACCTATAAGTCGAAGTCACTGTGGAAAAAGTACATTCAGAAATTTTGTAACCTATAATACAACTTTAGGATTTCATCATAAACTGACATCACTTAGAGAACCATTGGAAAACCTACAGGGAGCACTGGACAGCTGTTTCCTACGTCCTAGTTTGGGACTCTTCATCATCAGTATGCACCCACTGAGGTTCGAACGCAGGACTTTCAGCGGTTACAAGGTGAGCTCATGAACCAGTACTATCAGGTCTTCCAATGGTTCTCTAACCGATTTCAGCTCATGATGAAATCCTGAAACCAATAAAATCCCTGCTAACCAATCTTTGCATATCAGTTTGATGCTCACTAGTGACTGGTTCTATTCAGGAAGGTAGTTACCTAGGTTCTAGCGGGAAGTCACGACCAGTGGGCTACAGCTGTTCGGGTGTGAGGACAAATACTCGCCGCCGTTGATATTGGCTAGCGGTCACGCTATGTCGTGATTTGGTAGAAGTTGGAATTCATGGGCTGGCCATTGGATCGCGTCCCATTAGTTTTATGGTCTACGAGATCACCTATAACCAGAAGGCCTTGGGTTCAAACCACAGTGGGTGCATACTACTGACGAAGAGTACCAAACCAGCACGGAGGAAACAGCTGTCCAGTACTCCCACCTGTTTTCCAATAGTCCTCTAACCGATATAAGCACATGATGAAATCCTGAAACCGATCGAATACCTGCAAATCAACACTTGAATTCAATTGTATCTAGAATGTACGCAGTTGAAGAGAATCCACGTCTGTAAATATGCTCATTCCTTCTTTTGTTCAAACTGTTAAGGGAAACTATTTGCATGAAATCCTTTCCTTGATGAAGTGAGTGAGTATATAACGTTTCTGGCTACAAAGTAAGTCTATCTTAGGTAAAAGTCAGTCTACACATCAATGTTCTATGCTCATATAGTCAAGATATGTAATATAAACCGCCGAATACTAATAGGTAAACTCTCTTGACCTCTTAACAGTTAACAGTTGGTTGAAGTACAGGACTAAGATTCTAACATACTAGTTGGAAGTCTAAAGCGATATAAGGCGAGGAGAAATGACTCCACGAGAAAGAATTTAACACTCCCTATGAATAAACCCTTTATAGATGAAATATATTATATTTTGAATCACATATATGTGTACTACTGAAGAGTCCCAAAGTAGGATGAAACAACTGTCCAGTACTCCCTGCAGGATTTACAATGGTTCTGTAACTGACGTCAGCTCATGATGAAATCATCCAACCAATCAAACAATCAATCCCTACCAATCAATACTTGAAAAATATATACGTATATTTTGCCATGTAGATAACCTTGAAGGATGAATCACGTGTGGCTGAATGGCCGGACTCTAACAGGTGATCACAAATAGACGGCGACTTCGCAGTTCTACGTTCGCCTTTCATTAACCAAACCGGATAGTGTTCAACTACACGTTTTCCAAAATCAAGAAAGAATCCGCCCCTAGACAAATCACAGTGCCAAAGAAAATAAACTGTTTATGAGTCTAGCATTCAAAGGTGACACCATTTCTGAATTGATAAAAAATCATCGATCTAAATGTGTATTAAACGCACTTTTCTTGCAGCTGACTTGCAACTAGTTTTTAACAGCCGAAATATGATTAGACAATGTCCACATCTATGTGCATTTACTCGTTTACCTGCTCCTGTGGAGCTGATTATATTGACACACGTTGTAAGCGTACTCTCCGAAAATGTGTAGCTGAACACTATCCGGTTTGGTTAATGAAAGGCGAACGTAGAACTGCGAAGTCGTCGTCTGTTTGTGATCACCTGTTAGAGTCTGGTCATTCAGCCCCCAAGTGATTCATCCTTCAAGGTTATCTACATGGCAAAATCGAATCGCTCCAAAAGTTTACGTTTTATTCACTTATACATAGCCGAAGATTTAGCTATACATGAACAGAAACCTAAATTATGTTCACATATATTCACAAAAAATGAACACACATTAACAGAAACAAAACAACAACAAAAGCAACTCACTAAGACTTCAGGTGTCAATGCATTCGGCAGTGTCATATCAGTTAGAAATGAAGACAGCTCATTGAAACTGCACAAAAGTAAATCTTTTTCAAATAATTTCAATATTGCCAAAGCTGCATAGAATAAAGCAGATTCTTCATAGATAAAATATAAATCCCATAATCGCATAGCAGTTTCTAATGGAAGTGTTCGACTGAAAATACACAGAATTACAAGAAAACAAAAAAACAAATCAATTTTATGTTAATCGATAGAAGTGAGTTATACTATCTTTCAATTATTATCAAGTGTTGGTCTGAGGGGATTTGATTGGTGGTCACAGGTTTTGATCACGAATTGACATCAGTCAGGGAACCATTGGAAACCATCAGAAGGTACTGGACAGCTTTTTCCTCCGTCCTAGTTTGAAACTCTTCAGCACTACCCCACTCCACTACCAGGGTTCAAACCCAGTGTCTCCAGGGATTACAAGGCAGACTCGTAGACCATTCAGTCACTGGGACCCGAATCCTCAATGGCTAGCACGCAAATTCCATATATGTAACAAAACTGCCAACCAACATCATAGGCGAGTAACTGTTATTTTATCTCACTTGGTCGACCCCACTAGTTACGACTTCACAAATGGAATAGCAGTATAATAGGTTCAGCGAAGAGACTCTTTTCAACGAATTTATCATCAAGCTGTACAATCGTATACATATAAATGGTTTGGCTGTCGAAACAGAAAAGCCAGATCTCTGTATACAGAAAAAGTTCGTTCAACCCCTCCAACTTTCATGGTTTTAATCCCTCTATGCTAAAGTATGGTAATCCCTAATCATATTTTGGCTCTACCAATTTTTTCGTTTTGTCTATTCAATTTGCATACTCTTCCTTTATTACGTTAGTTGTTACTATTACTATTCTCAATTTGAACTGTCCCCGGTATTATTTCACTTGTTCCACTTGTCATTCTAAATCAATTCTGTTTCGCAAAGTTAAATTCTATGTTAGCAAATTTCGCACAATGTTACGTAACGTTTTTATTTTATTCGATTTGTCTACTAATCCTACAACTGTACACCCATTCCAAGTCCTATACATCCTATGAATTATTCTATATATGACATTAATTGCTTTGCCACTTGACATTTAACTACGATTATAATCACAAACATTTTAGTTTTAATTGCATTTCATATTACTATTATTATTATTTTATGCATTCACACCTATGATTCAATTCCCTCACTGGATATAACTTCTTAAAAAAAAACCCATATATATACGATTGTACAGCTTGATGATAAATTCGTTGTTGAAAAGAGTCTCTTCGCTGAATCACCACTTGTTTTGATTTTCTATATGTTACAATGGGAATTTTCCATGAGTATAATAGGTTCTCTAGAATTAGTAAGGCAGAGAGATATCGGTGCATCGGTGGCACAGCAGTACAACGCCTGCCAGCTACGCATGTGGTTCGGGGTTCGATCCCCGGCCACAGACGCACTCCTTTACCTCACTAAGCCAGTAATAAGACTGGTAAAGAGGGAAGGTTGGGCATGAGGCTAGCAACCCTATCCCGTACAATAATAAATTTTATTTTGTGACATGATGCAGAATGATAGGAAGCGGCCAAAATTTCAAATCAACATTTTATTTAAGTCAATGGCTACAGCAGAGGGAGAAGTGTTAATTATTCCTCAAATCTTGAATTAGTTTACCTTGTGACCATGAAATAACCTCATTGGACAACCCTGTTTAACCTTGGACCAATAACCAACCAATCAGAACAATTTATTCTCCTCTGACGTAGCTGAACTTTAATATGACTTAGAAAGGATAAATATGACGTGTCCGTTACACAATCTCTCAGATCTTCTGCCATTGCAACTTCTTTTATTTTATATTTTAAAAAATCACCCTCTTAAACTAAACCTATGATGCATGGTAACATGGTGATAAGCCCTTACTGACAGTATACTTAATTATAGATAAATTAGGGTTAGCTGTGTGTTACTCTATGAGACAAAAAAATCGATTTTTATGATAGTGCTTAATATAACTCGAGACAAAAAAAAGTGGTGACGCATTCATATTTTGTTTAAAAAAATTGGCATGGAATTCATATATACAGTCTTATGACATACACATTGACACCTGGTGTTTAATTCGATTATTACATACAATGAAGTCGACTAAAATAAATGTCTGCTTCGACAGCAGACTGACAAATATAAAACAAATGACACACAGAAAAAATTATTGAACGAAATTCCAATACTGATAAGATACTATAAAAAAAACCAAAGAAGTTTAAGAAAATTTAACAAAGGTGGGAACTTTGAAGTACTCATATTTATCATTGATAATTCTTCCGATGTCTCATGACCTCTTATGACTCATAGCCTCAAAAAGAACTGGAATTCCAGATACTGGACTCAAAACTAATTTCTACTCCACTGAAATCAGAGGGGAACTGAAAACGTAACTGCTCATTTGAATATATAGACCATATCTATCTCTACATGAAGTGTAAGGTAGAGAGAAAAAGCACGAAGAAAAGGAGATCATATTATCGAAGGCTATAGAGTGATGTGGTCGACAACAGGAAATTCAGCGAGGTGTTCGAAGTGAACACAGGAGTAAGACAGGACTGTCTATTATTGTTGTTGTAGACCGACTGGATTATGTAGAAGAATGTGTGCTGGGATTGAGAAGACTGACCGATAAGAAGACTCTAGAAGATCTGAATTTCAGGCATCGATGATTTATGTATAATGTCACATAAACTCGAAGACTTGCAGTTAGGCGAAAACCAACAAACTTATTGAAGAAGCAGCGAAGACAGGACTCCAGGTGAACATATAGGAGACTGAGGTGATGAAGATTTGTGGTGAGTGCTACTTATAATCCGATATAAGTAGTATATCAGGAACGAAGTAACAACATGTTTGGCACACCGAAAGAGCAATCAAAGAAGAGAACCATAAGAAGAATGTTGCCATATGATGCAGAATCCAAGAAGCTATCGAATGAGATGATATTCGACCAATTCGTCAAGGATGTGGTGAAGATGTGCAAATGGCCGGTTTAGAATATGGTATTCCAAATTTAGCTATGTACCATACGTTTCACCAAATAAACAATCCTTTCAGTCTCCTCAGTCTTGTCTTCTTCACATTTGGTGTCGCTGCCTCTGTCGGAGATGAAGGTGCCGTGGCCGCAGGTGTTCGAGGATGGAGATGCGCGGACGTTCCTCAGGGACTTCGAAGCTGTCGCGGAGCTGGTTGGAGTGCAGGAGCAGAAGGCGAAGCTGGTGGTCTTGGGAACGCTGCTGAGGGGCCGCGCGAAGGCTGCGTACGACAACGCTCGGGAGCTGGAAGGTGACGCAGCTTGGGACAAGGTCGTCGAGAGGCTCGTGTGCGAGTTCGACAGCCCTGCGGACAGACAAGAGGCGCTGCAGAAGTTTCGGACGCTGAGACTTGGCCAGGATGGGGATCCGTTGGTTCTCGCAGTAACGCTGACGAATCACCTGCGACGCGCGTTACCCACCCTAGACGAAGATTCACGGGAGCAGTTGCTGGCATCTCAGTTCCTCGAATGCGTCCCGACAGATGTCGCTCATCAGTTGCAGCTAGTTAACGCAGCTCAGCCAATGGATGTCTATGAAATGGCCAAGGTGACAAGGCAGATAATGACCTCGCATGTTGCTCCAGTGATGTCGGAGGGCCAAGATTCCAAGAAGATTGAAGACCAGATTGAAGAGTTGAAACAACAGGTGGCAGCTATGCAGAAAAAAAAAACAACAGGTGCTTTGCTTGCGGAGGAACCGGTCACTGGCAGAGAAACTGCCCGAAAAGAAGGCAGAAAAACCTTAAACGATACAGTCTTCCTTCTTTTTCTCGCTCGCGTTTAGAGGTGGTCGGGTTGGTCGAAAGAGGTTCAGTGTACGGGAGATTACGAGTGAACGAAAAAGAAATAGTTTGTTTGATCGACACAGGGGCGGCAGTTTCGTTGATAGGTAGAGAACAGTGTAAGGAAATAAGGCCGTGCACATTAGCAGTTCAGACGGTAGGAGGACATCCGTTGCACATTCTTGGCGTTTCAGACTGCGTTGTAGAGATTGGAGCAGGAAAAATACGATATCCGTTTATTGTAACTTCTGATATAAGACGAACGATTTTGGGAGCAGACTTTCTCAGAGAAGTAGGAGCTTTAATCGATATGAAGAATAGAAAAGTGGTCACAAAACACGGGCAATTCGCGATACATGAGAATAGTGAAGTCGCTGAGGTGGAAACCACAACCATTGGTCAGCAAGAAGCACCACGTCTAACCACGTTGATGAGTAAATATGCCGGTTTATTCACTAGTGATGGAGACCCATACGGTTATTGTGATAAGGTAAAGCATAACATCCCACTGAAGGATACGGGGAAGACAGTCTTTTCATCGCGACGAGTTCCGGTCCACCTTGAAGAAGAAGTTAACCGACAAGTCAGAGAAATGTTAAACGACGGAATAATCGAAGAAGCCGACAGTACGTACAGTTCGCCAATCCTTTTGGTGAAGAAAGCTAACGGGAAATATAGATTTTGTGTCGACTTCAGACAGCTGAATAGCCTCACCGAAGTAAAACAGTGTGTAATGCCTACCGTAACAGAAACTCTTGATCGCCTTCATAAAGCCAAGTTATTCACCGTGTTCGACCTACGATCGGGTTACTGGCAAATCCCAATAGCAGAAAGTGATCGAAGTAAAACAGCTTTCACAGTCGGGCAGAAACAATACCAGTTTAAACGAATGCCATTTGGATTGGTAGGTGCCCCATTTACATTCAGAAGATTAATGACCTTATTACTGAAGGATCTGAAGAACGTAGAAGTATATGGAGATGACTTGGTGGTATATAGTGAGACAGAAAGCGACCATATAGACCACATCGAAGCTATCTTAAAGAGAATTGATGACTTTGGACTGCGTATTAATAAGCACAAGTCCCAAATAGCTAAAAACACGGTTGTCCTCCTGGGTTACAAAGTGGGAAATGGCGAAATACGGCCATTGCCGGAGAAAATCCTGACAGTCAAAACCAGCGAAGTGCCAAATTCAAAGCGAAAGCTGAGACAGTTTTTGGGAAGAGCGGCATTCTACAGCCGATTTGTCAAAAATTTCAATGAGATAGCTAAACCGCTATATACGTTGCTG